CGACTGACACTTGTGGAGAATTTACTGTATTTGGGAATGAACGTTGTGCAGAGCGCGAAATGTCTAGGCTTACTGATAGGAAAATTGTGTGTCGTGTGAATGAACGTTGTGCAGAGCGCGAAACGTCTAGGCTTACTGATAGGAAAATTGTGTGTCGTGTCGCGTGGTGTTCGCTATTTTATAAACTACGTGTGTGTTGTGATTGGTGGTGTGAAGACTGTCGTAGGTGGTGGAAGTGTGTGGGGATTGGTTTTTTCGGTGTGTTTGGGGTGTGTCTGCTGGTGATGTGAAAGTGGGGAAAATTTGTTCTTACATTTGTTATACTACTTGTCTGAAAATTGGTGATGTCCAAGGTCTGTTTTATTGCCTAGGGCATGTGGTGTCCAGGTGTGAGAGTCGTCGAATTTTTGGTGTAATAAAGTAATTTGCCTATGCTGGCTAAGACCTTGCTTTTTAGAAGGTGCTGTCTATTGAAAATAGCGATGTTATTGTTTGGTTCGTCGGTATGGCCGAACAACCCAAGCGGCGTCTGTTACGCATGTGACAGTATCTACTAAAGTCCTTTTTCTTATTTTTTCTTCACCATTTCATTTCATCTCTCTGAATGTTTGAATTATTTTTTGTACAGAAAGGATTGTTCTTTTTTAAGATTTTTATAAAACACTTTAATTATTTTCTGGTAATCGCACACTTCGTAAACGATGACAGTGAAAATTTATAATACAGTAGACTCCCATATACATAATGCGAGTTCCTACAACGCGAAATCCGAATTCCCCGCATTTAAAAATTAAATCTATTAGGTTGTCCGGAAATGAATTGCAGTTTTCCGTTATGTCATATTTAGGGCTTTTCTATACTACATATTTGAAATTTATGTTTATTAAGTAATATACCATTTGTATCATATAAGCGATACACTTTTGTTTTTCACTGTCATTTGTTCTGAGTATAACTTAAAAACGTAACAATGGACAAGAAGCAAATTCGTACCATATTTTTATATGTATTTAAATTAGGACGTAAAGCCGCGGAAACTGGCCGCAATATCGATCATGTATTCGGTGAA